CAGTCTCAAAAATTTTGCCATCTTGGAGATCTCTAGAAGGGATTTGTCCCCTCGGCCAATGCTCAGAGTTATATAGGCCTACAGTGCTTGCCTTTCGTCGAGAGGCAAGCAATTTTATTTATTTTGCAATAAATGAAATGAGGATGTATCAGACTGTAAAATATTCCCCGCATAAAATATTAGGCCCTGAAATCTGTCGCCGCATTTCGAAAATATGAGCCGTTTTTCGCAGATATTTTGCAGATTGAGGCCTTGATAGTAGGAACACAAGTATTTACGATTCTGTGCATCTATTTTTCTAGAGGTTTCCCATGCAATTTGAATTAGTGTTTTTATATTCTCCGCAAAAAAAAAAAAAAAAAAAAAATTAAAGTTAAAAAAAAAAAAAATTGAAGTTAGTATTAGAATTTATTAAGATTCGCAAATGGGTACAAACATACGGTATGGCCAACCCCCCTCCCCAAAATAACGTTATAAAACATTTCTGTCTGCGTGTTGCTCAGAACTTGTGTATGATGGGAATCAACCATGCCTGAGAAGTTTTTACTTGCAGTTGTCATGACGATGGCTTTTAAACACGAAATAAGAAAATGATCTATACACTCTTACATACATACTGTAAAATATTATTAATAATGTTTATTTTATTTGAATTTCTCCATATTATACATTATTGAAATTCTTGCATATAGGCCTATTAATGTTGTAGGGCCATAGCAAAAAATACTTTACTTTAGTGTTATTTTTTTATGATTATTGCACAATAATAATGGGTCAAGTAAAATTGTCTTCAGAACAAGTGCATTTTTCAAAGGTACTTGTCCAGGGACAAGTGAAAAAACATGAAATTCCCTCATGCCTTTGTTATAGCCATATAAATTTATTGTTATTAGGCATATTTATATATTTTATGCTGTTAATAATTATTATCATTATAAATATTCATATATAACTAATAAAAATGTTATAATAAATTTATTGTAGTGAATATCACTAATTTTATATGTTTTTCATTGTAATTGTACTTATTGTTATTCTTATTATAATTTTGTTAAAGCCCCATTCCCAGCAAAATTTCAGTTGTTAAGAAAAATCAAATTTTTGTATAATGTTATAAAGATTTATAAATATAATACGGAATTGCTAGTTTAACTGAATTTATGCATTCCCAAGAATGAAAAAAATGTAAAATAAGACTGAAATTTGATTTTTTGTGTTCCACACAAAAAATAAATGCGGATGGATTTTTCATGTTTGATTTTGCGATAGGTCGTGAGAAGAAATATCGTAGGCGCTGAAAACATTAGCCTATCGAACGCTGCTAGGCTAGGCCTAGCCTTACCTCGATTTAGGTTCTGTTATCACACATAAAAACGGCCGACACGATAATTTCCGTTGCTAGTATTGACACTTGTAAAATATAATATTTCATAGGAATTATTTCAAATTTGTTAAAAAACTGATTCTGACTGAGATTTTGACACTTAAACAAACACATCTCAGCCTTAATCGAACGACCGCATTGTGCAAGATGCGAAGTACAAAAACTAATCTCATTAGAGAGGGCGTACTTTATTGACTGTATAAAGTATACATAAAAGCGAGAGTATTCCAGTGGATGCGATCTACAACCTCTGAATTTGCCTAGTAACGATAAATTCGTTGAGAAAATGGTAATATTTTATGAGAAATAGTCTGTATTTCTCATTTTTTTTATTCTTTTGCGTAAAACTAAAATTTATGCCAATATTTTTCCATGATTTATAGTAATTGCAGTAATGCAAATGCATATTTTCTAAATAAAGTCAGTTTTTAGTGAAATTTTGCTGGGAATGGGGCTTTAAACACTTCTTTTCAAGAATTTGTGGCAATTTCATATTGAAGCCTTCGCTGCAGGCTGCTTCTGCAGGTGAAGGAGAGTAATTAGGTCAATTAATTAATCTTGTTTTGTTATTGTTTCATTATTATTATTATTATTATTACTATTATTTTTATTTATTATTATTTCATCATTATTATTATTATTTACAAACAACCCACTTACCTTGTTGAACTCATTCATGCGTATGCCCCACCTACTTGTCTCCGTTCTTCTGATAAAAATCTTTTAGTTGTTCCTAGGATTAACACCAAAACCTTTGGTTCTAGATCATTTTCATTTTCCGCAGTATCCCTTTGGTACTCATTGCCCAAACATATTATCCAATCACCGTCAGTTGCTATTTTTAAGACAAAACTTAAAAGAATTTGTGGCAATTTCATATTGAAGCCTTCGCTGCAGTCTGCTTCTGCAGGTGAAGGAGAGTAATTAGGTCAATTAATTAATCTTGTTTTGTTATTGTTTCATTATTATTATTATTATTATTACTATTATTTTTATTTATTATTATTTCATTATTATTATTATTATTTTATTGTATTTTTGCTCTTTATTTTGTAATTTATTTAAGAGAGCTACTGACAAATTTGCTATAGAAATTTTAAAAGCTTTCTATATATCTATCATCACAGTTCATGTTATTGCTGTAGGACTCTTAAAATTCAAAATGAATGTTAATGCCGGTTACATGCCTTGCTTTTCATAATATAAGCCTTACACAAACCATTCGATAATTGTTAATGTAGTATTTTCTATTTTATTATAAACATCATAAGAAAAGCATGCTCGTCTCACAAAAAATTCCATTGGCAATTTATGCAAATTCTTGTCATGCCGCCATGTTTGATTTTAGTGGTGTGGAACGTCATGGAAACAGTGTGGCTACCCATGCCTTTGTTGATAAATACAAGGCCACTATTCTATGAAGATAAAGTCCATATAGCTTGTAAGAGTCAAAATATAACAGAAATTAATGCAAACGCATTCCAGACCAGTTAAATTTAACAATAATGCATATTTTTATCACTTAAGTGTGTAAAATCATGGTTTTGATCAATTTTCTTCTTACATAACAAACAAGATACCTGACTGTATTACATTTTTGTCTCCTCAGCATTTTTAATAATGGCTATCATCAGACTTCCAATATAGCCTACATACACCTCCTCACTATGCAAACTTATCTTAAAATAAATTTAATAATTTTCTTTGTTAAACCAACAGCTAAATAGCTTTTCCTTGGCTTTGTTTAGTGTATTGTATTCAACTGACATAAAGCATTAACATCTCCATCCAAAAGGAGAGAATATGCGATATGGGTGCAGCAGCAACAATCTGATCAATCAACCTAATAGAATTTAGCCGATGCTGAACTAATTATATATACGTCTACTGATAAACTAACTTAAAATTGTCCAACGTATTATGCATTATCTACCTATAGGCCTAATTATCATTTTGAAGCAGAAATGCATACCTTCACACTACGTATACAGTAACTCTTAGGTCTACTTTCTCCTATCTCCCAAGTGAAAGGAAATTGAGTAATGAGAATTAACAGGAACTTATTTTTGCTATTGGTGGCGGTATAGCACATTACAGTTGTATCGTAAAGCTTAACCTGATGAGTTAAAAACCACTTTTGCTGCCGAAACAACAATTAAGTTCTAAAGTAAGCAGTAAATACACGCTTCTGCTGAGTGTAATTATGGAGGCATCGTGGTCTCTTATACACATCT